AATAAGGTTTAAAATGTAAGATTAAATTAAATTTATGATTTTTTTTTGTCTTATAAAAAATGTTTATTCGACTTAAATGGAAAATCTGTATGTTTGTTAGGTAAAAGATTCTGTACCGTTCGATGTATCCGCACCAAATTTGGCAAGAATATTCTTGGAAATATTCTTAGAAAAAATAATATGGAAGTCCCCACCCCGACACCCCCTAAAGTACACCCCTCTTAACTTAAGACCCAGCAATTTTTTTGTGTTTTGCAGCTTTATTATTGAAAATACTCAGGCTAATAAATGTACTGTATAGTAGTTTTTATCACCCCCTCCCAACTCAACCTCACCAATCTTCCACCTCATCAAAAATCCGAGCAACACTGAACACACGCAGCTAATTTATTATAAAATAAGCGAAATTAAAGGGTCTATAAAAAGTTCTACAAAATTATTTACAGATGAGAGAATAAATAGTAAACTATAAATTAAAAATTGTATACAAAACATTTATTTTTGTTGATTCAGTAAAGTGATAGCCTATAAAAGATTTTTTAATTAAATTAAAAAATTATTAATCTAATTAAAAATGGGACAAAGGGGCAGTCCATTAATTACAGTTTACAGGGGAAGTTGAGAAAGTATGCTATTGTACTAGGGTCAGAAGTGACTCAAAACTGTACACATAATTAATGGACGCCCAAAAAAGATATTTCAGTTTAATAGAATATAATATAAATAGCTGAATAATAAATACTTCGAACTACAACGTGTTTTACTCGACTAAACGTTAATTATAACAGCTATTAAACCAATTATCAATGAGTCAAAAAGGCTAGATTGTTGGTTATTCTTAGATCTAACAGATTAAATTTAGTGTAAACTAAGCTTATGAACATCTAAAATAAAGCGAATATTAAAATTTAGACTTAAATGTAGAGCTGGACCAAAAGTCAGGTATCCATTGCAAAACGTTTATTACACAAAATACAACTCTTTAAACAAATTCAGTTTATGAATAATATTCAGAGTTGTGCCTATAACACACGAAACAATAGTGGTTAACTGACTTTTGACTCATCGTAAAGCTTAATAAAACAGATTAATTACAAATAAAAGTGAGACTATTCAGTTAATTACGATTAATTCCAATTATAATACGATGCGACTTTATTAACCGAGTTATCCTGTGGGCAAAAAGGGCAATTATCTGAGGTCTAAACCAATCTTTTATAAGAAAATTTCCCGAAGAACAATGTCTGACGTCAACACTACATGAGGCCTCTTAATTCAAATTTGCCTGGGCCCCACAAATCTATAACGCGCCATTGTAATTCATAAAATAAAATTTTAAAAAATATATACCTAAAATAGGTTCTGTAATATTTTAAGACGTATAAATTAATAATCTACTAGTTCTGAAAAGTTTTAATTTTTAATTTATTAGATTAAACGCGATATTTGTTTATAATTTTATTTATTCGAATTTAAAAAAATAATAATAAGGACAAATAAGGGCAAATAAAACTTTGGGAAAAATCATTTTAAAATAGAAAATGACGAAAAATATTTAAGAATTAAACGTATCAATGCAAGTAAGCCTGAAGCAAAAATCCAATTGACGTCTTTCTGTATACAGGCAGAAGTGCAGTTGTTTGATTTGTGTGCATTTAAGCCCGGGGCTTTGATTTTTCTCCTGAAACACGAGCTAACTTTGTTACATTCGTAGTTGCAACCCCCCTTTGGGTAAACTGAAAATACGACGCGGAATTTATCGATTTTCCGGATTAGAGATTATTCAATCATCCGGCGCCTTTTGTCCGCTGGTTCGTCTCCTCTAACTCAATCACAGTCGCTCCTCCTTTGCCGTGATTTCAAATGCATGTAAAATCTCTTATTTTATCGAACCAATTTGTGCATAACAATGTGTAAATTGTCAGCTGTATAGTATGGTAAATTTTACGGCCTGTTGGACAATAACCAAATGAATTTGGTTAGTTCTCTTCCCTTTTCGATCTAACTGTTCCAATTAGGAACTAGCTTTGGCCCTGTAATTAGAGTTGGCCGCCTCTTCCTCTTATTTGAATGATGGCGTACAACTTTTAGAGGTTTTTTTTTTTTTTAACCATCGTACAAAGTAGCTAGGATTTTGTAAGCTTGTAAAGTATAGAGTCTATATCGAGCCAGAAACTGAAAGTGTAGATTTACATACAGTTTCGTTTGACAGGTTATTTTGCCTTTTAGTTAAACTGGGAAGAATTTTTATAGTTTAATCCATATCAAATTCATATCGGTGGGAAAATCCCCGATTATATGTCCATAAACTGCATTCAAAAAACAATTCTGCAGCGTAGTAGGAGGCTATATATAGGCCCACTTTTTACCACTATAATCCTCGTTTAATCCTCTTAAACAGTCAGGTTCCTGATCAGTTACTTTTGTATAATTCAAGTTTATGAGCGATGAAGCCGGATAAGTAGTCGCAACGTTTGAGGGATGAGTAGTGACAGATACCAAAACGCAAAAAATGCCGACTTATAAATAAGTCGGCATTTTTTGCGTTTTAATTAATACAGTCTTACAAATTTCCTTCGCAAATGTCACCAGATTAAGCTATAATTATTTATTATCAATTGAATAAAAATTTTTCTTCCTCTTCCTTAACTTCAAAAAAAATAAATAAATAAAATAAAAATCTTATAAGATAAGATAAATCTCCTTTAAAAAGTTTATTTAAAAATATGTTTTTAATTAAATAAAAACAAAAACAATATCGTATAGCTTATGTTGTGGTAGATTGTTTTTTTTTTATTATAATCAGCAAGATATGAAGGATGTCCAAAAACGATGATCTATGTTCAGTGGCACGTTATTAGACTCAGGCGTATTTGAATTAGTGGCCTCAAGTACAGTATTGTCTTCAGATATTTTTATTCGAAAGTGTTTTGGGGGAAATATTTTCTTATAAAAGACTGGTTTGGGGCCTCAGACAATTGCTTTTTTTCCATAGGATAACCCGCCACTGCTTATATTGTCATCCCACAGCAGCATTAGAAACATTTATTCAATCTTTATTACGAGTTTTGGCATATAAACCTTCACCCTTTATTATGTTCCAAAGTGAATCTTGTAAAATTTTTCTTATCTTTTCCATCTTTACTCCTTCCATTTCAGTTAATCTTGATTATTGCTTTACTGTGGTTATATAAAACATCTTATCTTCTGATTGGTCATAGCATCCATTTTTTTGCATCAGAAATTCTTGTAATTATTGATCCCTGGGATGTGTCAACTGAATACTCTTGTCAATTTTATAAATCCCATCGTATTACTTGTAATTCTAAACATAACTCATTCATTTTAGTCCGCTCACGTTCAAGATCTTTTCGTATACTTTCAAGCTTTTGAAATCTTAGGCTGAATAATTTACATTACGTTTCATTGTTCTTCCAACAACTGCAGTTTTCTATACAAGTAATCAATTGAATAAAATTGCAAATTTTTACAATATAAAAGCTGCATTAATGAATTATAAGAAATTAAAGAAAAATATCAATCTTTATAAAATACAGATGTGTTTCTACGTGGCTACAAAATACAGGTATTTGAAGCAACATATCAGCAAAGAAACTTTGTTTCAATATATTTTAATTCTAAATTGATACATTTGTTAGTTGGGACCAGAGCCATAGAAATAGTTCAATTAATTTAGCTCATTCAAACTTAATTAAACCATTAAAACAGCTCCATAAATTTGTATTTTAAGCATCGAGATTGTTGATTTCTTTGTCTGAAAATAGGACAGAATATTTTTAACATTATCATAATTCATTATTTTAGATTAAAACTGAAAAAATATATATATATATCTGTCTACCATAAAATATGAATAATGTGTATATATATTTTTAAGTAAAAATTCTCTTAAATGTCAATTTTTAGGAGAATTAAATTTTTTGTAGACAAAATATCACAAATTATATCATAAACATTTAAAAATTAAGATTGTTTTTCAGGAAATATAATTAAAAAATTGTACACAAAAAATTAAATGCTAAAAAATATTAAAATTCTTCAAAGTGACCTCCATTTATTACTTGTACAGTTTTTTAGGCCATTTTTGACTCTCCGTTATGTACTGTACAATAATGTACTGTACTTTTTCTACCCTCTTAAACTGTACACGCTTCATTAATTAATGGTTCTGAAATAAGTAGAAATTCAAAACTAGTAACATTATTATTAAAAATTAGTATTCTTTGATGTAGTTTTAAGCACAAAATAACTATATTTTATAGTTTTGATTAGCCCATAATTCACTATTATCTGGTTAGAAATTTTCCAGATTTCATCTCAAAAAATTGCAGCCATTTATCAGCAATCTTGGAGAGAATTTATATTAATGTATGGGAACATCTCTGCAATAGTAAGTGTGAACTGCTGTATTTTACCAGCAGTCCACACTTGCTAATGCAGAGATGTTATAACTACTGTATATTCAGTGAAAATTTTGTATTATCACTTACTATGGAAACAAATTCAAAAAACAGCTTTTAATTTTACATAGTAAGCTTCTTTTTAAAGTTAATAATGAACTTTCTTCTAATATTTCACAATATGGAAGCTGAAACGCGTGCTTTAATTATATCGAATGAATAATAAATAATTCTAAATATACGCTATAAAATTATTTAAAATTAAAAAAGCATTTAATTCAGTTGAATTAATTCAATTTTATATTTCACTTTAATATTTAACGCTATAAAAATGGCGATAATTTAAAAAAAAAAAGTTATTTGAACATCGCGCCATCTGTTGGTACATTTTATAAATGAACAATATAATATTAAATATTAACTAACGACGTTTTATATTTTTAAAATATTTGCAAGTTTATAAATAATAATTAAAATGTAGTTTTTATATTAAAAATTCGAATTTTTATATTTTTACGTGATGATCAACTTCTACGGCTATTGCTTAATAGTTGTGACGTCACAATGGATTTGGCAGTTTTGTACTGGCAACTTTCGAGCGGCATGGCTTTAGTTACAATGAATACATGTGTTTTAAAATTGATATTGATTTTATTTTTAAACTTTTTAACGTGTCATTCAATAGATGTCGACAGCAATGGTTATATTGTCTATTGTCCTTGCATGGGTGAGATTTTATAGATTTACCTTATAAATAAAGAAATAATCTCTTTGTTTATTTGTTATTAAATAACATAAACAAATGTAATTTTCGTGACTCATAAGAATTTGTATTCAATTTTTACTTAATATTAGATTTATATGATAAATTTTTTGCAGAATTTTGGGATTTCGATGAAGGAATACTTTGAGTTGAATATTTTTGTTAAATAATTCATAACAATCATTAAATACATTCATAATGCATTAGATTAGATACAATTAATATATATAATTCTGTACATATAAACAACATATGACATATAATTCTGTCTTGTATAATATAAACTGGTTTGTTGTATAATAGTAAACATTTCTAAAAAGAAAAATATAATTATAAAAATATGATTGAAGACAAAGCAAACATCATTACAGTATAATTCTATCAAGAAAAATTTTTAAATTATGCATTCAGAATTTTGAAATAAATTTCTAAAAATCTTAATCATTGAAATTATGTGAAAGAATCATTAACTCAATGTACAGTACATAACATAATTAAATCGTCAAATTGATAATCTTATTTAAATTTTGAGGATGATTATATTATTTAAAAGTTTAACTTTAGTGCAAAATATTTGGATTGGTAACTGTCAAATGTTTCTTAAAACTAGATTTTGTTAACATAAAAGTTATACGTGGTAAGAGGTACTAGCCTTTTGAATTTTGTTTCTTAATTAAGTACACCTAATCCTTGATTTTCAACATCGATTGGTTTCATAAGAATTTTACATGAAATGAAATTGTGTAAACATTTTAATGGAAAAGAGGGAGATAATTTCCATATTTCCCATATAAATGTTAGTTTCAATTTACAGAAACTTTTGTAAAATTAATCTAGCATTCAAATTGAGGATTAGGTTATATCACATAATTTTATATAGATCCTGAAGAAGAAAGTCATCCTGGAAACTCTAAATGAAGAATGGTGTTAAATAACTTATAATAAAAGTTTAAGATGATTTGTTTATATGATGTAATATTTAAATTGTTTCTTCAAGTAGTGCTGGATTGTCTAATGAAGCATGTGTCTAGAGGCCCTGAAATTGGAAAAAGTAAACAAATTTTACTGTTGCAATTGCATATCAAAATTTATAAATAAACCTGTAACTAGAGTTAGATGTTGTTAGCTTATGATGTCTTAAAATTATATAGAAGGATCCTCAATCTTCTGTCCCTGGATCTCCTAGGCACAGAAGATTGGGAACCTTTCTTAATCTTTCATTGTCTTTAAGAGAAACATTGGTACTTTTCTGTTAACAGGATATCAGTGAATATGGTAAGATTCAAGCTCTGAATGCCAGGTTTCCCACCACCCCAGAATTGTTGACCCTTCGTGAGATATTTGACAAAGATCTGTTTTTAATATGTATCAGTATACTGCTTATTCTACTTGCTTTGCATGTAGTCATATGTTTTGGTGCTTGCTATTACTTGCACGTCAGTACCCAGGTGGGGGCAAGCACCCACGTTTCCTAAAACTATATAACATCAAATACTTCATAAACAGTCAAGTGGGCTACTCAAAACCGGCACAATTATGTGGGCTAAATAGTTAAATGCAATAGTCTTAGCAGAGCAACACAGATAACAGAATCATGCATCAGATTAAAGTTACAACTGGCATCTTATTAACAGAAAAGAGTCAAAACATTTATTATAAAAACTTATTAACACTATATAAAATAAAGATGATAGTATAAAATGTAATGGCATAATAATATGATAATTGGAATATGATATTTAACCATATAATCAAATTGCATTTAAGAAAGATTGTAGTACATGTTCTGATATCAAATATTGTTTAAATAGTGTAGAAGTAATAAGAGAAGTGAAGGTAAATTTCACTGAATTTGATATTAAACTATTTTATTTTATTTTGTAATTATACAAAATAACTATAGTTTGAGAAATTACATTCAAAATCTTAAGTTTAAAATGTATTTAATGAACATATAGATCTATATCAGTCAATAAAACTAGAATTTTTGGTAATTGTAGTTTTATTTACTTATCCTGCTTAATGTTAGTCAGTTGTTATCAATATGGGTAAGACTCAGAGTGGTTACAATAAATGGATTCTACTAGATTCACAGTAGAAAACTATATAATACTAGCTGTTACCCGCGGCTTTGCCCGCGAGGATTTTGCAAGCAAAACCCATTTATAGTCACTATTTCAACAACCATAGTAATTGTTATATAACACGTACCGCTGAGAATGATGAGAATTGCCAAGAATCAAATGAACTGTTTTCAATTTGATCAATTTTCTAGAACATTTACAATCATTCTGTGAGGGACGAACAGACCCCCCAATAAAGTGTTATTTTAAATCTTAAGATTTGGAAAATATAATCGGTTAAATTCGAACGTTTTATCGAGTTAGGCTAAAAGCCATAAAATTTATTTCCCACGGAGTTTGTTCCTTGTTGAGTCGAATCAAGTTAGTCAGGGATGTGTCACCAGGAACTGCTGATGGAGAATCCATATTGGACGTGCGACCGTTAAAGGCCATCACCTGACCTCATGGAAAAAACCCAAGAGGAAAAAAAAAGAGAAAAGAAAACGATCCCGAAGTCAGTCGTCATCCGAAGTCCCTCTACAGAAGTCGTCATTCAAGCCGGCCCAACCAAGTCGTCCTCCAAACCATTAAAACCGTGCCCCAGGATTAAAACCGTAACACCGAATTAAAACCGCGACCAGGATTAAACCCGAGAAAAACATTCGTGCTGGATTAAGCCTCTACACTCCTCCGTGCCTCCACCCCAGTGAACGGACAAGATTCTGATTCAAGATTCAACGACAAGATTCAAAGAACTGTCCATCAAAGAACTGTCCATTCAAGATTCAAAGAACTGTCCATCGACAAGGTATTTATCAACCCGCGATTCGGTTGTAAACTCTCTCTCTCTCCGCGGCCTAGTATATTTAAGGACAATAATATGCCGATAGTATTTAGTATCTCTGTGTAATTCGACTTAATTAAAATCGTTATTTACTTGTTACTATGGAGTCCGAGTAAGTTACTTCCGCGTCTCTCTCCTCACCTCTACTCCGAATCCAAGCGCTCACACGCTGCCGCTCGCGAATCTTTAGACGTAACGTCACGATTTCCGAGTCCCCCAGAGACTCGGTGGTGTCAGATTCAGCCCTCCTGACAGGGCGCCAAAGAGGTGCCGACCCTACGGTCACAATTCTATAATCGAACCAATGTGCGATAACAAATTCGAATTTAAAACGGTTCGAACATTTGGTTAAAAAATCTAAATATATCAAAATATTTATAACAATGTCTGAAATGTTATTAATTTAATACATTTAAGTACTCAATGAAAATTAAATGTAGTTGAAAACAAAAATCGCATTTAAAATAGTACAGTAGAAGCTTTTCTTCTGGTTAAGCCTTAATCCTCTCCCTCATCCCTCCGCCTAGGAATTTCTAAAAATCCCTTCTTAGTGTGCGTTTTCATGACATATCTTAACTGTGTACCAAATTTCACCTCTTTAGGTACAGCGGTTTGCTCTGGGCAATTATGAATCAATCATTCAGTTAGTCAGTCAGGACAAGTAATTTTATATATTTAGATAATATATAGATATTATTATTATTATTGTAAACTGTTATTTATTAATGTAATTAATTAAAAACAGAGTTATAAATATTTAATGAAATACATATTTTAATGTTAAATCAATTATTTATTAAAATTAAATTTAAAAATTAAAATAAATGTTTACTGCATTGAAAAAAAGGTGGTGTTGTGATTAATATAAGTGCAGTTAGTAAAGAAATTGAAACTTGTTTTTATGTCTTATTATTTGTAATGCCTTATTTTCTTTAAGAAAAAATATAGTAACTTATATAGTATTTTAAATATGGATAGAGATAAAAGTTTTTAATTTTTAAAATAATATATTTTTAGGAAGGTTTGGGAATCAAGCAGATCACTTCTTGGGGGCCTTAGGATTTGCTCATGGGTTGAATCGAACATTAATATTACCTCCTTGGGTCGAATACAGGCCAGGATATTCCAAGTCTGTGAGTAAAATTTATGATTATTATTAAATTTTATTTTTATTACCTTACTATGTTTGTTGTTAACAATAAATCGTGACTAATGTAGTTGAGTTTCATTGTTATTTTAATTCAGAATATGGTTACAAATATTGCTTCCATTGATACATGTTAAAAAAAAATCCTGCAACAAGTTGTGTAACTTTTCTGGCATTGCACTAAGGGTGCAGCTATGCAGACATGACTCTAGTAGCAAGCAAGAAGTTGCAAGTGATATAGTTCTCACAAACCATGCACATCAGAGAAGTGAGAAATCTTACTGATGAGAGGGAAATTCTTACTCTTGAAAATATCTGACATGGTTTGATATTTATTTCATCTTGCCTCTTCCTGTTGAATACTGAGCATGCACTTTTGCATGAGTATAAGAGATGGTTTATCATATCATTCATCTACTGTTTATATAAAAAGATTTTTCTGTTTTTTCAAACTATAGAATTTATGACTTTATGTATATAAATATACATAAAGTCATATAAATTCTGTTTTATTAACAAATTATAATAAAGTTCTTTGTCCTTTCACTGTTTCCAGAGAGGAGGAACATCATATTTTCTTTTGTCTTTTATGCATTCATTATGAAGTAATCCTAATAACAAAATTATTCCTTTGCTAGTAGTAAGTGTCGTAGTCAAATCATTTTGATTTTTACTTTCATACAGTGCAATAATTCATGCTTCTCCATGATGAGTTCATCATGACCATGTGACATCATCATCTCCATGCCACTTTCTCCCATTCACTTGTGTCAGTGTAGTCGAACTGTACTTAACGAGAGCAAGAAACATCGTCACTTCTCTCTTGCTCACACATCACTTGGCAAATTTGCTTGCTTTCATCTGCTAGTCACATCTTAACATAGGGCTTTTCTGCACTAAGACATACTAGCACAAAATTAAAATTGTCTACAGCATCATCTATTATGAGATTTTGTTAAAAACTAACTTTTATATTATTAATTATTATAAAATAGTCAGTGAAGAATTTAATTTTTAAATATTATACTTTATTATAGGTACAAGTTCCATTTGATACATATTTTAATGTAGAAAGTCTTCAAAAATTTCATAGAGTATTAACAATGGAATATTTCATGAAACATCTTGCTTTGTCTGTTTGGCCTCCTGGAAATAGAACAGGTAATTATTGAAAATATTTTAGAAAAATTCAACAATTAAATATATTTGAAGTATAGTATAGTTTATTTCAATCTCTCCCAGTTATAGGTTGAGCCATAAATAATTTCCAATTGAAGGTAATTGTAATTGGACTGCAATTTGAAAAAAAAATTGTAGACCCATAAATGTCTGTTCCTCTGTCCATCCATCTGTCTGTCTTTCCTTAATCTCTAGAATGAAGTTATTGAATAGATAGATGAAAGATGAGGCCAGATATAGAAACCTTTAGGGCAGGAAGTCCTGAGTAACGATATATGAACTTCCTGTCACATTTATTTCAATTCAAAAATTTTCCCCTGAAAGATGTTAGATAGATGACCAGTATGACTCTATTGTTAAAGTAAAAGTATGATGTACAGGGGCAAGCCACTACTAATTTGAGGTGGAGAGTATTTATTTTAAATTAAATTAAAAATTACAGCTTGGTATTGAGGCAATGTCAAAATAAATAATTACTTGTTGTCATTTAAATATTTTCAAGATGATATGTTGCTTTAACTAAGTTTTATTAGTGGCCTCTGATCCAAATTTTAAAGATAAAGTGTCATATATTTGATAAAAAATGGTTTTTGAAGCCATTTGAAATGGAACATTTTAAGGTCATATATGAAATATTATGTTGTGGGAGTATAAATTTGGCAACAATACTAGAGAAACAGCAGAAAAAAAAATTTGTAGTCTATACAGCAATGGAGTGATTTCAGATAGAGCAGTTTGAAAGTAGTTTACAAAGTTCCATTCTAGTGATTTGTCCTTATGAGAACAAAGACCAAGCCACTTCTCAACTTCAATGACAGTTTTAAAGGTCTTGATTGAGAAGAACCCATGGCAAGCAATGAAGGAGTTAACAGAGAAACTGAACACATCCCAATCAACCATCAATTGTTATCTCAAAAACTAGGAAAGATGAGTAAGCTGGGAGTTTGTGTTACTTATAACCTCAGTAAATGGAATAATGCTGACCTAAGGTCAATAGCAGCTACTTTTTTCCCCTGGCATAAAGATGAATCCTGTTTGGCAAAAATTGTAATAAGATTCAAAAATGGATCATATGTGAAAATATCATTCAAAAAGACTAGATTGACAAGGATCATTGGCCTCAACTGGATCACAATCCCAGTAAGCATGGAAGAAAAATTTTGTGTGTATAATGGATCGTCAATAAATTATCCATTTCAAGTTGTTGCTAGTTGATGCAGCAATAAAACTTACTGCAAATGTATACATCCAACAGTTAGAACAGCCTTGGCTAAAATTTCAAGAAAAGTAAGTGTCCTGCACTTCTTAACAGAAAGAAAGTCACCTTATTGCATGACAATGCAAGGATTCACAGAACAAAGATTACTCAAGAAAAAATTTTGGAGTTTGGTTGGTCTGTTTTGTCTCATCCAACATATTCGCTGGACTTTGCACCAACAAATTTTCACATTTTCCAGGCACTGCAAAATGCTTTAAATGGTTAATACTTCTAAAATGATGACCAAATTCAGGAGTTTGTGTAGAAGTTTTTGATTGAAAACCACCAAAATTTTATGCAAGGAGAATTGACAAATTGCCTGGAAAATGGGCAAGAAGTCATTAATAATGACAGTGAATATATATTAGATTAAAATCTATTGTTATACATTTTATTGGTAAATACATTTCATTTTAGAAAAGGAAATTATTTATGACTCAATCCCAATGTATGTTTATCATAAAAATCTAAGAATCATGGATTTTCATGATGTAGAAAAAGGAGATATGAAGATTTATGACAAAATATATAACCTCTCTATATAAAAAAAATAAAAAAATATATATCTGACTCATTTATATTATTATGAGGGCTATTTTTAAAATAAGGTCCATTTGTGAATGAGAGTGAGAATGACACGCAATTGCAGCAGTGTGCATGAGCATCTGCTTTCAGCATGTTTTGTGCATGTTTAGATGCCATTTGCAGCTGTATTGTCTGTCTGTGTGCTGAACTGTAGAAGTTTATAATGTTTAAGAAAATTGAGTCACCCACCGACTGTAAGATACAATCTGTTATTTGATTTCAGCACGAAAAATCATTCTGGTATTTTTGAAACCGTGCCAGTAATTTTTAATCCAAACACAAATTATTTATCATATTTATACAGACACTTGGTAAATCACAGAATTAAATTATATTCAACTGAATAAAATTTAATTGGCAAATCACAAAATTAAATTTTATTCAGGTGAATAAAATTTAATTCTGTGATTTGCCAAGTGTCTGTATAAATACGATACATAATTTGTGTTTGGATTAACAAACGATCATGGTAACTGTCTTTTGGGACAGGAAAGGGACTTTGTTAGTGGATTTTATGCCAAGAGGTACAACAATCAATTCTGATGCTTATTGCGACCTTCAGAAAACTCTGCTGTGCCATACAAGACAAGCAGCATGGCCTAATGTCTTCCGGTGGCAGGCGGCAGATTTCTTTGAAGTTGGAATTTAAAAAATTTTTGTGCGGTATGACAAATGTTTGAACAAAAATGGAAATTATGTAGAAAAGTAGATAAAAGTATGTAGAATATGGGAAAAAATATATTAATGATATTTACAGTATTTTTCTTCTTATTAAAAAACAGACCTTATTTTAAAAATAGCTCTTGTAAATATGTATTTTTTCCAATTATAAAATTTATTTGGTGGTAATTTTAATATTAATTAAAACCAAAACTAAAGACAAAGTTTATCAAACAGTTTCCTTTTTATTCACTTTTATGTTTTGTAATTGTATGACTTTTTTTTAGCTTCTCACTCATCAAATATTTAAAAATTCCCTTAAAACATGAAAAAATAAACAACCAATTTAAAAAAAAGGTTAAAAAACACTTTCCAAAATTAGAATGGAAACAAAACAGCTATCTTCTATCTTTCTATTCATACATCACCATACTACTACTTAAACTCAAGTGATAGAATGGTACTAGTTCTTGTTGGATGAAAAGATAGAAGACACCTGTTTTGTTTCCATTCTGATTTGGAAAGTATTCTTAGCCTTGTTTTAATTGGAAATATGTTATTTCATATTTTAAAGAAATTTTTAAATATTTGTTGACTAAGTAGTCTAAAATGACAGGTCATGTCATTGTGGACACCTGGTAGACCTGCCTACTTGTCAGGGGATGGCTTGTTTATGCGTTTCAATCCCAAGGGGTCGGGATCTCTTATTAGGTCAAGTGGAGGAGGTGAGAGGGGTCATCAATAAGGCATAGGCGATATGCGAGTAAATGACACCATTTAACAATGGAAACAATGGTTTATTATATTAAACAAAAATTAATGATTACAAACTCTAACATCAAAAACTTTTAACTTGGTTTGCTAGCTCCTAATACACAGAGGGAGAGTTCACATTAATTGTTTCATACCTCTAGGATAATTCCACGGAGAAAAAAATATTGTTCCTTTTTATTGAAGATCGATGCACAAAGTTATAACAATCCAAAATCCTTTGAGACCTGAATCACTTTGACTAGCCATAGATGAGAGACTTCCCCTGAAGCGAGGGGAGAAGGGACTTTTATAGCTTCGCTGTAGGAAAATTTGTCATGTGATCAACTGTTGTGGGAGATAAATGTCATTGGAGCAGATATGAAGGTTAAAGTTGTTCCTGGGGCCACAACAAAACGATGAATTTGGACTGTAATTGTAAACTATAAGTCTTTCAGAGTGAGAATGCCATTGTTTAGATGTTTAAATGTTTACATTAAAGAGGAGAGTTATAAGTTTCTATCGTTGATGAGATATTCGATTCTGTTTTTCTGACAATGTTATTTTCACGGTAAGGTGCTAAATTTGTTTAAAATATGTCAAAAAGTTAGGAGGAAAGTGGAAAATTAGTTTGCATACAGGTTGGATCTCACATCATCATAAAATGTATCTCGAACATGAAAGTGAATAAAAAGCTGACTGTTTCAAGGTCTTTGTCTTCACTTTTAGTTTTAGTATATGGGTAATTCCATGGAAAAGTGGACATTCTAGGGTGAAAATTTTTTTCACTAAATAATACTTTTTTTTGCTCCTATGATATTATCATATCTCTAAATGTAAAAAAATAATATTTTTGGCAACAGTTAGTCACATGATCAGGCGCCATCTTGGATTTTTNATGGGTAATTCCATGGAAAAGTGGACATTCTAGGGTGAAAATTTTTTTCACTAAATAATACTTTTTTTTGCTCCTATGATATTATCATATCTCTAAATGTAAAAAAATAATATTTTTGGCAACAGTTAGTCACATGATCAGGCGCCATCTTGGATTTTTCCAAAAGTTGTTTTGCAGCACATGGTGACTGAACATTTGAGCATATAAAAGGAAACTATTTTCTTCTGTTACTTTGAGAGTCTGGATGACTTGTTGATAATAGTAAAAAGTAAGTATCTTTAGATTATAAATCCTTGTAGAAAATATAATAATTTAGAATCCTTGTGGATATAATGGAAATGAAATGGATCAGCTATTGATCTGTTACATCCGTTACATTTTATTACAAACTTCTCTATATCTTGGTCATTAAGTTACTGAAACCTTTGTAATTACACATTCTTCTAATGATTTTCATCACATTTAAATGTAACCTCATGCAAAGATGATTGAAGTAATGCTTAAGAAAATTACGCATGTAAATGATGTAACAAGTGCATTGTAACGGATGTAACAGGAGAGGTTGTTACATCAGTTATATTATATTTCATTAATTTTCTCTTTTATTTAGATGGCAGCTTTACCAGAACCACTTGGCAAAAAAGTAGCAATGACAGCTGCAGAGAGGATGAGAAAGTATAGGGCCAAGATGAGCTTAGAAAAGATAGTTGAAACGAAAAGAAAAAATGCAGAAGACCAGAAAGCTCGTAGACAATCCTGGACAGCTAGTAAGAAACGCTCAGAGGCAGCAAAATCAAGAGAGAGGATGAGAGCTATGAGAAAACGCAAAAA